GTTCAGATGGCTGACCGTACAACACTAAAATACCGTCCGACACACCTGAGAAGGGCAAAATGTCTAGCTGTTCACCAAGGGAACCAGCTCATAATATACAGGCAGAAATGTCTCGGGACTACTGGAAGTCTCCAGTCAGTTGTTGTGCCATTTTGTCGCAACTCACTGACTGTATAATTATGATCTGGTTACTTTGGAGGACAGTTAGTCATAACTCGTAACATTTTGTCCTCTTCCTATCCATGGTGAAAGAATCATACCAATTACTGTAAAAGCCATATATATAACGAAGTGCTAACTCTAACGAGTTAACGAGGAGAAATCTGTCGTTAAAATAGAAATCGATACATATACTGTTCTATTGAGCGTTGAGAATGAGTGAGAATCGTTACCTTTGGTACACGTAAACTAGTCAATTTTGGGAAATCGCTATATATGCGCCTCGTTAGAACAATGGCTTTTACAGTACACTCGAACGTCTCTTATCCGGGCGCCTTGGGACCGGGCACTGCCCGTATCTCAGATCTGCCCGTATCTCAGGGCAGCTCATCTAATCATGTATCATATCATCTTTTTGATGAAGTTTCTTTGGCAGCTATTGCTCGTGTTCAGGATAAACAAGAATCCACTGATGGAAATGTGTGGATTACACAGGTTGACAGTGACCAATGAACACTTGCGCATACGGAAAAAGTTCAAAAACCCTAAATCGAAGCAACTTTGCCATAGAATCTCAAGCTGAAGGTGCCCGGTAGAGAGACGTGCCCGTATCTGAGGCGTCCGGATAAGAGACGTTTGAGTGTACAGGTAGACTCCCTTTAATTCGAACCTCAAATTGCCAGGCCCTAACTTCGAATTATCCAGAACTTCTAATTATCCAAATGCAGCCCCATGCACTGATATGTATGTCAAAATGCTTGAAATCGCATGCTGAATAGTTTTTGCACATTTTTATTTGCATCAACGAAACATAGGTGGTCGTACCGGTCGTGTACAACGGATCATCAACACACTGGATCGACACAAAATCATTTTGACATCTTCATTTTCTAGTGAAGAAGTTGTCAGTCACTGCAGCTTTCCTGAAACAGTTTCAACGGAAAAGAACTGCGCTGCCTAATCCACGTCATGAAAGGCCGTCGGACAGCAGCATGTCATTCTGAAGAACGGAAGTGGAGCATAGGCATAGACAATATTTACGACAATAGTGTTTTTGTGCCCCAACATCTCCTCGCACGAGCTGGCGCGGCAAGAAAGGCCATCGAGATCCGCGAAGAGAGTCAGCCACCTGGAAGACGTCGTCTTCAATCAAACCTTTGCAATTTGCCTCGCACGGGCTTGAAAGAAATTCCGAGAGAAGGTGGGTTTCTTGAACGCTATAGTCGATCCTGCAGCGGACCATCGATCGATTTTTGAGCTACTCTTGGCTAGAGAAGAAGGAGAAAAGAATGAACTTCGAATTACAAGGATAGCAACTCAATCTCACTTCGAAATAAGCGTTCAAAGGACATGGCCAATGTACTGTAATTAGCTCTTCTGTACGAAGACTGGGTTCGAATTATCCAACCGGCGCACTTTTCGTACTTCGAATTATGCATTCGATTTTGACTTGAAGTGACTTGCAGAAGATCGGTACGACGAAAAAGTTCGAATTACACGGAATGTTCGAATTATACCGTGTTCGAATTAGAGGGAGTCTACCTGTAGCAGTAGAAACAGCAGCAACAGGAGCAGCAGCAGCAACAACAGGAGCAGCAGCATTATCAGCCGCAAGAGCAGCAATAGCAGGTCTACCACACACCCATCACATCACACCACATCACATCACATCACATTGCATCACATCACATCACACCACACCACATCACATCACATCACACCACATTGCATCACACCACACCACATCATACCACATCGCACACCCATCACATCACACACCCATCACACACCGCATCGCATCACACCACATCACACCACATCGCATCGCATCACATTGTAACACAGTGCATATTGCATATTTGGGCATGCCTCATTCATTGTACCTTGTATGGAGGGATGCCAGTGGTTTGGGAACAGTAGATCGTGTAGTTTAGGTTCGAGCCACCTTGTTGTAAAGCTTTAATCTTTTTTCTTGTTTTCATACTTTTTTAGCAGGCATCTGTTACTTGACATCATGCATGACTCACTGCATTCCTAGTTGGTGCAGTTGCACCACACCTGTAGTCATGGTAGTCACATGCATAGCTCCTGATTGGACAGAGAGCACTCTGGCCAGGTATAAGTAGGGCTGTCACACTTCAGTTCATCCTCTTCTAATTCAGTCTGATTCTGAGTCTACATCTGATCTACAACTGAACTGTGACCTACTTGTGAGTTTGATCTGATGATTCTCCTTGTCTGCTGCCTGGCCCACTGAGGCCAGGCTACATCTGGTGGCAGCGGTATTAAGTTCTGTTGTTTGTTGTGTTGTTGGATGGAAGATATCTAACCCTTGTGTAGAGATGGCCCAACAACAGCAAGCAGTCAACCCACCTCGTCTCCGGCCGTGCGCTACCCCGGATAAATTTGATGGCAGTGCGTCTGCTGATTGGACAACTTGGATCGCACACTTCCGGCAAGTGTCACGAGTTAACGCCTGGACACCACAAGAACAGGTCGACTACCTCCCCCTGTACCTGGTTGGCAACGCGCAGTCCTACTATGGCTCGCTAACAGATGTAGTACGCGCAGACCTTGCACAACTCTTGGCAACCCTAGAAGGCAGATTCTCGCCAGCCGTCCGAGTAGATGTGCACCGAGCGGAGCTCAAGGCCAGGCGCCAGCGGCCAGGCGAGTCCCTATCCGACTTCTGCGAGGCTATCCGAAGGGCCGTGAGGTTAGCCTACCCCGCCCTGGCAGCCGACGTCCGCGAGCAGCTTGCCAAGGACCAATATATCGATGGGTTGGACAGCCGAGAGCTACGCCTCGATGTCCGGCGGCAGGCTCCCGCCACTCTAGATGCCGCACTGCAGCACGCGCTACGGGCCCTGGCCATCCTGCAGACGGACCTCACGTCACAGCCACCACCTGCTGTAGCTGTATGTGCCGCACGACCTGACGGGATGACGGAGCTCCTGGCCAGGATGTCGAAGTTGGAGGAAACCCTAGCCGCTCTGGCAACTGCAGCACCGCGTCGTGGGCAGCGATCATGCTACCGTTGTGGCAGCCCTCGGCATCTCATCGCCAATTGCCCGGAGCCTCCTCCACCGCAGCAGCAACAGCAGCGGCAGCGCAGTCCTGACCAGGGAAACTGAAGAGAGCTGGTGAGAAGGGTCAACCGCCAGCTCCACCACTGCCAGACCCGGAGGTGCAACACGCCGTGCCCTCCGAGGTGTGTCACTCGGTCACTGTAAGCAAGTGCCAATTTGTTCTGGGTAAAATCATTCCGCTTTGTTTACAAGATTTGAAGATGCTCATTGACTCTGGCAGCTCAATATCATTCATAAGCACGAATTTTTTCTCCAGATCTGAGAATGCAAAGTTGGAAAATTGCAGTACCCGAGTGCGAAGTGTTGATGGCAGTGCTGTGCAAGTTAAGGGAGCAATAGAAGTAACTATTCAGCTAGGGGATGTTGTCAGGTCCCATATGATGGTTGTGGCAGATATCGAACCTGATGTCCTCCTAGGCATTGACTTTCTTGCTAAACATGGCTGTATCCTGGACCTAGCAGGCAGTTGTCTTCGAATTGGACATTCTACTTTGCAGTTGCTTTCCAGAGAGGGTTCCCCTACACTGTCTTGCCATAGTTTACAGTTTACTGATCCAGCTCCAGTACAACTAGCTGAAACTATTGTTGTCTCAGGCTATGGTCAAGTAATCACCAGGGCGAAAATTAGCACCACTTTGCCAATTCCGAAGTTGTGTGGTTTTGTCGAACCATCTGAAACATTTGTAGACAAATTCTGCATGGGAACGGCTAGAGTTGTGACAAATGTTAGCGAAGAGAACACTGTACCCGTCCGCCTTCAGAATTTATTGTCACGACCTGTTACAATCCACAAAGATACTGTCTTGGGCACATTTGAGCAATGTACGGTTCTTGACGAGGATAATGCGGAGCATGTTGGCACGAATTGTGATGTGGAAACGTGTTGTGCTAATGATGTTTCTGACCCTGTGGAGTTGTTTGACCTCAGCCATTTGGAACCACAGGAAGCCACTGCTGTACGAGAACTGCTCTCGGAATTCAGGGACATCATGTCCACTGGACCTATGGACCTTGGCTCTACCGATGTCATTCAACACGACATCGAGACTACCAGCACCAGGCCCATTCGTCAAGCACCACGTCGTCTCCCAATGCATCAAGCAGATGAGGTACGGGACCATGTTGAGAATTTGCTGCATGAAGGTTTGATTGAGCCGTCTAACAGCCCATGGGCAGCACCAATCGTTGTTGTTAGGAAGTCGGATCGTTCAATAAGGCTGTGTGTGGACTATCGTAAGTTGAATACAGTAACAGTGAAAGATGCATTTCCCATACCGAGAGTTGATGATGCGATAGATCACATGAGTGAAGCACAGTACTTTTCCACGTTGGATTTGGCATCAGGGTATTGGCAAGTGGAACTCACCAACGCAGCCAGGGCTAAAGCAGCGTTTGTCACCCCCTTCGGATTGTATGAGTGGAAAGTCATGCCGTTTGGGTTATGCAATGCTCCAGCTACATTTCAGAGATTGATGAATGCAGTACTGGGTGATCTAGTACCGAAGGCCTGCGCGGCTTACATTGATGATACGATCACATTCTCTACTACCTTTGATGAGCATCTTGTGCGGTTACGGCTTGTGTTTGAGAAATTCCGTGCAGCTGGTCTTAAGGTTAAGCCTCGCAAATGCCAAATTCTGCAAAAGTCCGTAACGTACCTGGGACATGTCTTTGAAGGAGGGGGTGTGGCCCCTAAACCAACCAACTGCAGTGCTGTCACTAATATGCAGGCACTTGCCTCTGTGCAGGAAGTTCGCAGGTTTGTTGGGTTTGCCTCTTACTACAGACGCTTCATCAAGGACTTCGCCACGATAGCGGCACCACTGCACAAGCTCACGCAGAAGAAAGTCGACTTTGTCTGGACTGATGAGTGTCAAGATGCGTTTGACACTTTGAAGCACCGCCTCACAACGCCGCCGATTCTGACGTATCCTGATGCTCATCGTAAGTTCATCTTGGATACAGATGCTTCAGACTATGGCATTGGTGCTACTCTATCCCAGATTGATGACCAGGGCAGAGAAAGAGTCATTGCATTTGCAAGCAGAGCTTTGAGCAAGAGTCAACGTCGATACAGCACCACGCGCCGTGAGATGTATGCTGTAGTTTTCTTCATGCAGTATTTCAAACACTACTTACTTGGAGCAAATTTCACTCTCAGAACTGATCACAAGGCGCTGGTATGGTTAAAGTCATTCAAGGACACTGAAGGCATTCTTGCACGGTGGATAGAGAAGCTGGAACCGTTTGATTTCACAGTGGTACATCGGAAAGGCTCTCAGCATGGCAATGCGGATGGTTTATCTCGATTTCCTGAGCAGCTCGTTAATCCTGATTCCGCTGCAACTCCGACAGCCTCGCCGATCCTAGATTCGTCTACTAACACTAATAACAAGCAATGTTATGATCCTTCTGTTCAGTGTGACTGTACTTCTACAGGTACAACAGCAGCTTTACAAGTTCCGGTACAACAAGCTGATGACTCATCGCATGACACTGACAACTCTTCGCCGGTACAACAAGCTGAGGACTCTTCGAATGACACGAGCGCTACTGCCTACGCCAGCTTAGATGAAACTACTACTAGCGGTGAGACGGTCGCCTGCGAGCTTAGCAGTCCTGATGATGTAAGTGCTGATTTGATAAACTGGCAGACTTCTTCACAGTAGAAGATATTCGGAAGGCTCAAGCGGAAGACAGTGACATTGACTGCATGATTGGTTGGCAACAAGCATTGTTAGACAGGCCTAAACGCAGTGATAGTGCTATGAAAGGAGCATCATTGACCTTGATACGTCTGTGGAGTCAGTGGAAACGGCTGGTTCTACAAGATGGCTTATTGTATCGTACGTACACTTCACTAGACGGTAGCAAATCATTCCTGCAACTTGTTGTACCTGTCAGTTTGCGACAGAGAATTATGACTGGGATGCACAATGAGAGTGGTGGTGGCCATCTCGCTACTGAACGTACTCTAGAGAAGGTGAAAGCTAGATTCTATTGGCCTTTTATGTCATCTGACATTGAGCTGCATTGCAAGGCGTGTGAGCTGTGTTCAGCTAGGCATACCCCAGCACCAACCGCTCGCGCTCCAATGAAGGTGGACCAACCATCGTTTCCGCTACAGCGTGTCGCTATGGACATCATGGGACCACTGCCCAGAACAGATCGAGGTAACCTCTACATTGTTGTGATTACTGATTATTTCACAAAGTGGGTAGAAGCGTTTGCCATCCCGGATATGACTGCTAGGACAATAGCTTCTGCACTGATTGATGGTTTCATTTGTCGCTACGGTGTGCCAGTGTCTATCCACACTGATCAAGGTGCGCAATTTGAGTCAAATTTGTTCAAATCCATCTGTGAACTGTTAGACATGAAGAAGACACGCACAACACCATATCATCCTTCTAGTGATGGTCTAGTTGAGCGGATGAACCGTACACTTGAGAACATGCTGAGTGCCAGAGTCAATGCCAATCACAATGACTGGGATCTGCATATTCAACGCTGTTTACTGGCGTATCGTAGTAGCGTACATAGTTCAACCAAGGAAACCCCAGCTAGACTGATGTTCGGCAGAGAGCTTAAGTTGCCAGTGGATATTATGTTTAACGACTCCAGAGAACATGTCAAATCTGTACCCGACTATTTGATTGATCTGGAGACCTCCTTGCAGCAGGCATTTTCTCATGCTCGATCAGCTGGCGCTAAGGCACAGAAACGTCAGAAGGACTACTATGATGCAAAGACAACCAAGCCACGGTTTGCGATCAATGACAAGGTGCGCTTACACAACCCAGCTGTGAAAGCAGGCACCACGAAGAAATTCCGGAAACCATGGACGGGACCGTACCGAGTCATTGAAGTGATTGATGATGTGGTGTATCGCATTGAGCATTGTCAAACTGGTAAGATGCAAGTAGTTCACGTCAACCGTTTAAAACCGGTTCGAGAAGACGATACCAGTGTCAATAGTAGTGCTGATCTGCCCCATCCGTCTCCATCAGCAGTTAGCTTTCCGGAACCAGTAGTCGAGTTCCTACAAGTTCCAGTCGTAGCACCAGTAGCACCAGTTGCACCGCAGCATGCATATGGTTTGCGAAACCGTAACAATATTCAACCGCCAGCGCGTTATCGCTAGGACAATGTAGTCCTGACATTTTTGTACAGTCTTCATTAGGTAAATTTGTATCATACTGTATATAGTTCTATAACTGGTGGCATTTTCCAGTTGTCTTGTGTTTTTTCCCTCTCCTGCTCTGACTGGATTTGTTTGATAATCACGAGGACGTGATTCAATTTGGGGAGGGAGTGATGTAACACAGTGCATATTGCATATTTGGGCATGCCTCATTCATTGTACCTTGTATGGAGGGATGCCAGTGGTTTGGGAACAGTAGATCGTGTAGTTTAGGTTCGAGCCACCTTGTTGTAAAGCTTTAATCTTTTTTCTTGTTTTCATACTTTTTTAGCAGGCATCTGTTACTTGACATCATGCATGACTCACTGCATTCCTAGTTGGTGCAGTTGCACCACACCTGTAGTCATGGTAGTCACATGCATAGCTCCTGATTGGACAGAGAGCACTCTGGCCAGGTATAAGTAGGGCTGTCACACTTCAGTTCATCCTCTTCCAATTCAGTCTGATTCTGAGTCTACATCTGATCTACAACTGAACTGTGACCTACTTGTGAGTTTGATCTGATGATTCTCCTTGTCTGCTGCCTGGCCCACTGAGGCCAGGCTACAACATCACACCACATCGCATCACATCACATCACACACCCATCACACACCGCATCGCATCACACCACACACCCACCACATCATATCACATCCACTGGCAACAGCCACCTGAACATCAGCTGCATCTTACCTGCATTGGCAGTGTGGACATGAGGTAGAGAACTCGCTCCAACACATGACTCGCCTCAGTGTCATCCATGACAAACGTCACAATGCCGTGCCGCTGTGAATCCCGTACCAGATGTCTGGCACCGCGTAGCAACATATCTGCAGCCTAGATGAATACACCACCATGAAACACAATCGTGTGATACCATGGTTATAATCCAGCTATTTGAATGTATAGTGCACCCACAGCAAGGTCACACAATGTTAGTTGACTGACACACCAGGACATGTTTTCAGTCAAAGTTTGGGGCGTGGGAACGTATTTTAGGTTGGTACGGTCAGCCCACTTTTTCCTACAATTCATTCGTTGGATTAGGGTGGCTCCTCTGAAACGTTTCGCAAATTTAGACCCCAGGTCAGGGCTTTTGATTGATTCACAGGGTACCCGGGACGCAAAGTGGTACGGTCAATACCGCAGTGACCGTAGCGTGTCCGACGCCCCCTGCAAACAATCAGATAGTGACATCAACAAAGACACAGTTACATCGGGAGAGACACTACTGAGTCGCATGCTCTCAGCAAGAGGAGGCTGGGAGACAGTGTGCGTGATATATTCACGATGGAACGTATGCATCAATTTCCCGCCGTTAGGATTCGCGGGCCGAGTCCACTACAACTGCACACACCGTTTGATATCAGCTCTGCATAAAAGGTTATGAACTTTGGGAGGTCATACTCAAAAATATACTATAACAGGTTGTACCTGCCAAGTATGGGGTAACTTGCCCCGCAAAAAGGTTACGGCCATCTTAGATGCATACCTCCTATTGCTCCTGCAGGATGTAATGTGAGTTTGACAATTGCAGTCAGTATACTATTCAGCACTATTCTGAAACCATAGCATTACGCCAAGGTACTATAGCATCACAGGAAATACGACATGGAAGTACAGCTGACATCTTACCACTGAATTGCCCATCATCCTGGGAAATGTGTATGAAGCACAGCCCAGTGTACTCAGGCCAAGCTGCTGGTCAGGAACATGTAGTGTGGTCTGCATATAGACAACACGGCACATTGGACAAGCAGGGGTGAGCAGACACACACGCAAGCATGCACAAACACACACACACACACACACATGCATATGCACACGTGCACACAAACACACACACACGCACACGCACAAACGGCCATACGTACAGAGGCAAACGCACAGCATTGTTTCCAGTCAACCGTTAAAAAGTCTAGAAAGGACAACAATTACCCGCACAACTACATGCTAAAGGCTCTAAATTTACACTCCAGGACAAGGAACCATTTACACTCCAGGACAAGGAACTCCAGGACAAGGAACTCCAGGACAAGGAACTCCAGGACAAGGAACTCCAGGACAAGGAACTCCAGGACAAGGAACTCCAGGACAAGGAACCACAGACGGCCGCACGTGTATACCAACAACATCATATTCCAGTCGGGTGATTTAAAGTCCCGTATTACTACTATACATGACCGGATTTTACTAGCATTGGCTGAATAGAACCCATACTTCATCTGTGTATGTGTGTGTGTGTGTGTGTGTGTGTGTGTGTGTGTGTGTGTGTGTGTGTGTGTGTGTGTGTGTGTTTGTCCACGAACACATACAGTGCATGTACGTAGAAGTTAACGTCCACAGGACTCTGGGCTAGCATTGCTTCTCACCCCTTGTGCTATTCATTCCACAGCAATCCTCCAACACAGACCTTTCGCACATTCACGCAGATAAAAGACAAGCACGATTCAAATTCTCCCAATGCTATCTGGAGTCGTTGACAAAGATCTGCAGTAGAGCAGTGTTCATACGAGTTCATGCTGATTCATTCGCCGGCAGCCCCAGGTGTGTGTGTGGGGGGGGGGGGGTACATGTACACGCTTCGGTGCAAAGTGCGAAAGATCTCTAATATCAACACAAGTCTCCCTTAGGGGTCGTCGCAAAAGTTTCCTGTCGTCCCTGAAACGAACATCGTTCATTTTGAACTCGGACCCCTCCCCTCCCTCTGAAACGAACGCAGCTTGCTCTGCTGGACGACGAAAGTCGCACGCATGAACATGCCATAGTGTACAGTATCGGTCGACTTGCGATTTCGGCTCCCCCCCCCCCCCCCCCCCCACGAATGATGTTCGTTTCAGGGACGACAAAAAACGTTTGCGACTACCCCCTAGTTCGTCTTCTCACCATAGTGCTTGCAAACACAAGGTCACACAGTGCAAGAGTTGTAGCTCCCAGTCCCACCGCTGAACCATTGACTGCGGCGATTAGTGGCTTGCTGCACGTGATGAAGCTTGCAACATACTCCCTAGGACAACAGACAAGAGTATGCATAGAGCATGTACAGAACGCACACAAGCATGCACACACACATACATGCACGTACACACACAAACATGCACGTACACACACAAACATGCATGTACACACACACGCATGCACATACAAAAACATGCACGTACACACACGCACGCACGCACAACACACACACACACACACACACACACACACACACAACACACACACACACATACACACACACACACACATACACACACACACACACAAAAGCAGACACAAACACAATGGGCATTTGCACCACAAGGATAAATTACAAACAGTGCAAAGCAAGCCAAGGCACAAACACGAGAGCAACTATTGTGCCTCCGCGATTCACAACAGCCAGTCAAAACATAGGTCTTCTGTCTCCATCTACTGGAATGCCACGTATAAAAAAAACAGGCCTATACCTCAGTGGTAGACTTCTATTCAAGTCAGGTTTCTATTCGAACCAGGTATTGCTTTGTACTAAGTATGTCAGGACTAAAGCCAGGCTTATGTGCCGCATGGAAGTATTCGACAAGAGTGTAGACAGGAGTGGAAAAGAGAACAGGACAACGACAACTCAAGACAGCACTAGAACAGACCCACTGGAGCATGCGCTCTTCTATGTGAGTGGCTCTCATTGCCAAGGGGAACGAGCGGGAAATACGAATAGTGAGTATGTACAGGTCGTAGCATAAATACACCTATTACACCGCCAGTTTGTCTCGAAAAGCAGACTTGCATTCAAAACCGGCTTCTATACGAGACAGGCTTTTTAAGACATTGCAGTATGCAACATACAGAGCAATAACCTGCCTGAGAAGTAACCTGGTGTGGAATGACAAAAGCAAACTGAACGCAGGGAGGACAACCTCGCAAAGGGCGCAACACTTTCACGGCAAAGAACGTTAAATCCAGCGCGAAAGCATCACCACCACTAGCACCCTGCAACAGGAGAGCTAGCTGAAGGTGAGGTGCGTGTCACAGCAACACATCTTTATTTTATGTATTTTCTGTTCTTACATGTTCACACAACAAATAAACCAATGCAACAGTGCTGCATAAGACTATGGCATGCTTGGTGACAGAGCCAGCGCAGCACAGCTGTGATGCTGTTACACAGTACCCAGTGCTCCACACAAGACCACGGGGAGGCTTGGTGACAACGCTAGCATGGCACAGCTGCGATGCTCTTCAACAGTACTTTTCAACGACACAAGACTACGGCAAGACTTGGCGACAGCCCTAACTAACAAAGTGTCACTTACTCAATAGCCGTTCTGTATTCGAACATCCTGGCCTCCCAGTCCGCTTTGCTCTCCCCGGGTTTCTGCAAGACACTTGCCAGCATGTCTTTGTCCAGACCAGTGCAGAATGTCTCTCCCTCGCCGGTCAACACGGTGGCAAACACATCCTCATCGTCGGCGGCCTTCTGTAGCAGCCTGGGTAGTGTGCGTAGCATGTCCAGCGTGAGAGAGTTGTCACGGACCGTGTGATTGAACCAAATCATCTGCACGCCATCGTCAATCTCCTCGTGGAGAAACTGCCAGCAAAAAGAAAGAAGAGCGAACATGTTCTACAATAGACGGAAGTACAGAAGTGGGGAGATGATTTCTTAAAAACACAAAACAAGACTCATCAGTCCTTAGGATGCTCACAAACAAACAACTCAAATGATGATGGATCATACAATTTCCATAGTCTCTTAATTTAAAATCATAACTGCATTGAAAAAAATCCAGGAAACCTGAGGTACATGTTCCGTTCGTGGGGAAATCCCCAGTCATAACTCCCTGCTCACCTTTTCACCAGTGTTGCTTGAAGTCGAGCCGACAATGTACGCATCGCTGCCGCTGACCTGCAGCTGTTCCCGACGCTCGGCGAACATTGCCCGACCATCACCGAGTGTACCTCGTCTGTACGGCCGCGCCTCACCGTTCTCATCGGAATTCTCCCACAGCTGTGTCACGATGCGAATGTACTCGCCACGCGCTCCTTCCTGCATGGATCGGGAACAAAACACACGTCCACACGCACACACACACACACACACACACACACACACACACACACGCACACACAAAACTGTCACCGGGGCTGGGAAATGTCCCTGGGGTGGTCAAACGTCCGGGGGGGGGGGGGATAATGTCCCCGGGGTGGGCAACAGTGTCCCTGGGGTGGGCAACAGTGTCCAAGAGGTGGGCAACAGTGTCCCAGACGTGGGCAACAGTGTCCCTGGGGTGGGCAACAATGTCCCTGGGGTGGGCAACAGTGTCCCTGGGGTGGACAACAGTGTCCTAGAGGTGGGCAATGGTGTCCCTGGGGTGGGCAACAGTGTCCCTGGGGTGGGTACTGCACACCATAACGATGACGAAGAGTTTCTCACCTTAGTTACACCTTTCAACAGGTCGGCTGCATCGTTCATCACATTGTACACAAGGGGACCGATATGACTCTTCTCGTGCGGAGTTTTCTGATTATGCGGAGTTTTCTGATTACCCTCCATTGCCTGAAAGCATAAATTAACCGGGCACAACACAAGCAGACATGCACAGGACAGCTCAAGTCTTCTTCCCCTACGGCCCAGCACAGAGATCCCGTGCTCTGAAGATCATAGTGTAGTATGGGTACTTTACCACACGTAATGACTATACAGTCAAACCTTTCTCCATGCACCGACAGTTCTACACAGATACTGTGGGACCTGGTTCTAAAGACCACCTGGCTTTTTTAACGACCGCTTTTGCTTGCACCGTGGGGTGGTCGCTTAAACCAGGTTTTTCTGTACATATAAACACCGTACACTGTAGGTGTCCATGGCAAGCTGGGCGCATACTCGCACTGTCTGTCGTTGTCTTCTTCTCCTGCTTGTGAATGGATGAACAACAACTTACAATTCGTAATAACCATGTGCCGTGAGAGCGTTGAGAGTGTGAGTGCTACAATGTTAGGCCATGCCGGTTTTTTCTATGTTTCGCGTCACCTTATTCGATGAAATCAATGAGGGAGGGCGAAAAAAAATTTAAAAAAGCCATCCAAAAAACAGTGTACGTGCATTGCATTTGTGTACAGTGAAGCGACGCAGCACTGTTCATGTACATTGACATGTACATGGATACATGAGTGCATCCCCTCTGCCATGCTTGTGGTCCAAACACAGGCGGCATGATGATTGTGTGACTTGCGGCCCACACACACCTGTAACGATGTACATGTGTGTGAGCTGAGTACAATCATGCGGTACTAAGTTACAAAAAATAGTAAATAGTGAATAGTAAATAGAACAAATATTTAATTGATGCCAACATAATAGTTATGTGTAACAATCATGTTCCGGTTTTTTTCCTTTTGGGTTACATTTTCCAAAAAAAAAATTGTTCCGTTAATTTTTTTAACTCCGGCTGTGAAATACATGCGCGCGGGGGACGCGAAACACAGATAAAAAACGGTGTGGCCTTACAATAGGATGAACCAATTTAGCCCAAGGAAGTTGTTTGCTCTCATCCTCCAAAGCACACGAGAAGCCCGCGTACTCGTATTCCTCATGACTCGAATAATGTAGAGCAATGCTGTTATTTCAACAAGGGCTGCCGAACGACGGCTCGAACGGGCTCGGCTATTATTCGTTTCCAAAACCAAAAGAAGGGCTGCATTCAAAAACAGGTTGAGCCGCGCTTCTGAACATGCATACTTTCAATAGCTTTAGTCTAGAAGTTAGAGCATGCTGACTTTGATGCTTTGAGCCGATTTAAAAAAAGTGCTCTTTAGTTCACTCTTAACTTCATTGCGATCGGCTCGGCCCGTCATTCTGATCTCAGCTCTAGCTCACTGTGGGTTGTCTTTCACTAGCCTATGATTCACGTTGCTGTTTTCCAGCCAAAGCCTAAACCATCATTCTACAGCATGACCGTGTCAGTCACGCTACTACTGTCACTACGGCATTGGCCAGGGAGAACTAAAGTATCCCGGCTTGTATTGACCGTACCGCTTCTCAGTTATCGTTAGCACCTGTGTTTTTTTCTCTCCAAATAATCGACGTGGAGACAACAGTTTTAACCCTTTGTGTACGGACTGTACAACTTTCGATCCCCTGGGATCGAAACTTTTCAAATTTTCAATCGATCGTAACCCAGTTATTTCTGGGTTATTTCCAAAACCTAAATTATGTAGGTCGAAGAGAAAACTCCCAGCTGTCCATTGAAACAATCGCAGAAACACTCCGATGTGCGGTTCCAGAGTTACGAAGCTCGAACGTCAAATCGCGGCAATTGTCGCTCAATAGCCGCGTGCGCAGATTTGAATGAGGGATTTCCCCATCTTTCTGGGCATCTAGTGATGTAGAAACACATTCAAAATAGCAAACGGACTCGTGGCAGATGGCGAAATTTTTTGGAAGTAAAAATTAGTTGTTACAAGCAAGGAGAGCGAAATGCCTGATACAAGACGACTTCTGTCGGAATATTGGCGTTGCAACTAAGACGCTAGGTTGTAGCGCTGGAGTTTTGACCTTCGAGGTGGCAAGTGTGGGCTGAATGTGTTCCTCTTGCGACGAGCTTTCCAGGAAGCTCAAGATTGAAAAAATCGTCAAAAGGAGACCATAGTTATGACCCGGAGAATTATGGAATTTGAGGCGAGTCGAGATCAAATTCAGTCTGCGTACATATTTTCAGTACATAAAGGGTAAAAAAAAACAGTAAAGAGAACAAATTCTGCCGTCATCGCCACACAACAACGAAGTCATGACCTTGAAAGTTTTCCAAAATCGATTTTCATATCGATTTTGGAAACATTTCATGACTCCGTTGTTGTCTGGCGATGACGGCGAAATTTGTTCTCTTTATTGCTATTTTAGAATTGTTGTCTCCACATCGATTATTTGGATAAAAAAAATAGGTGCTAACGATAAGAAGCGGTACGGTCAATACAAGCCGGGATACCTGTTTTTTGTTTGTTTTGTTTGTTTGTTTTTTGAACGAAACGCGCTGAATATTATTGACTCTGAATTTGAAATGGGAGGGCTCCGGAATGGCACCAGCAACAATGGCTGCTGACCGTGCCGTCCTGATATGCATGTGCCTTCCGGCGACACTACACTGCCGGGGTTGCCATCCTGTTTGAATGTGCAAAGGAAAATTAGAATGGACTCGGAGAGCCAAGGATGAATTTATAGAAAAGAAAAAAGGACCAAGGAACTACAAGTTACGCGATAATGCTGATTGTTTAGTGACTGATGGTGTTTAATAGTGGACATTATGGCGTAACTTGTAGTTTCTTGGTCCTTTTTTCTTTACTATAAAAACTAGGATCTGAGGCAATCAATCAAGGATCGAAATTTCTTTCCACAGCTTGGCTTCAAAACCGATAGTTCACTGCACTGATTCTGGTTCTGCATAAGGTGATGAGCAGAATTATGCAATGACTTTAACTTCGGATTTTTCCGCCATTTAACCGTAAATTAGCCGTCGCCGATTCATTGCAGCCCTGATTTCAACCTACTTCGTACTTGTGCTGAGTGCCCCAGTACGGCCGTTCTTGGTATCCCGTTCTCAGTGGGCTCTTTTCTCATGTTTCAAGTTTATTGTACCCAATGCAGTGGTGCCATGTGACTGTGAATGCCCCCCCCCCCCCCACACACACACACCTTGACAGAACTCGGGATTTGTCAGCATTGCGAAACGCTCACCTGGCGGTACAGCGACTTCAGGATTACAGCCATAGCCGGGTCAATCTGCCTGTCTGGATCCATGGCACGGAGCCGTTGCTGGGCAAGGTAGAACTCTTCATCCCCACGACCGAGGCCCAAGCCCAGGCGACCTTTGAACGCTAATGCTGTCGAAGTGTGTATCCAACGTCGCCCCGCAAAATGTCTTCTGCTTCGAAAATGTCTGCAGCTCAAATTAGATCTGGCATATTGAGAAACCTTAGGTGACACGAGCCTCCTCCACATAGTTGCTTCCAAACGATACAACTCGCCTAATTGCTCACACCAGAAGAGAAGAAGATTTCTGTATTTTTGTTTGAAACCTGGTCATTCCTTTGGTCAGAGCCTGTTCCCTTCACTTTCTCCACCACTTCACTGGACCGCGACACTCTACTTCTCTATAGCTCTAGTCTCTGGCTATTGCCTATTCCAAACTCTCCGCGTAGCTAGTAGAGTTCGCGAAGTCGCTAGTGAAGGGATCAGGAAGAGGGTGTCGTACAAAACCCATGACTGTTTCTTCATTCTTTTTTTGCAAGTGCATTGGGTTTGTTTTTTTGATCGAGCGCATCGTGCACGTGCGCGTGCGGCACGTGAAGATACGCGTACGACGACCACTCGATCGATGTCATGGCGTTGTGCCTAAAAGGCGCAGCTCTCGAGATCTGAAGGGAAATTTTCGTCCACGGTCCAGCCCCTGATCTTGTTTTCTAATTTTTTTCTTGTTTGTACTTGTGAATAGTAGCCTGGCTTGATGATTGAGTAGACTATTGTGTGTACAGTCGTGTAGGATCCCATAGCCAAGGGTTAGTTACTGCTGGCAATTTTGGCTGCATCGCTGAGTTCTTGAGCTTCTGTCTCCTAGGAAATTGCTAGATCTAGGGTTTTGCATTCCATCTGTCGAGTACTGAATTCTGCATTATAATAATTATTGTGAATTAAATTGTAGAGAGAATGTTGAGAATCGTGCCTATATTAGCCCAGTGAATATCCAGCAGTGAGCAGTAGATTTTTCCTATAACTACTGTATCAGGAGGGAGCGAGTGTGAAGGATGAGCGTGCTTGTTTGGCGCACGGCTGCTCGCGTGGTCCACATTCATCGAGCCACTGCCTTACTGGCAACAGCCTCGCCATGTGGTGATCACTGCGCCCCCTCACCTGACATTGTTGGACTCGCGAGTAGGTTCAGCTCCCCATGCCAATTGCCTTATCATGTCGCGAGGCGCACAAGCTCCACATCCACCAGCAACGCATATCAAATACTATTCCCGTCCACCGTGAAAAAATTCCAAAAACTCTACCCGGCACAAGCTGGCGTGTCGCAACTAGACGAGATTCTGCTTTCGCTCGGTCTCGGGAAGAAGTGGTCGGCTCTGTCGCTTGTCTTGGCTCTACCCAGTGCTGGGAACGTGGAGTGCTTGCAGAAACTGATGTGCCTGGAGTTGGCGCGCAGTGACGATCCGGAAATTGCGGCCTGGCAGCTAGCCGAGCTTGCCACTCCGTTTCCCGCTGTGTTTGCCCTGATGGCTCAGTCGCACGAGTTCATGCATCACTTCTATCAGACGTTTCGCAAGGACGCAAAGCTGGCCGGCCTGACGGACGCGCAGTTCGGCTGCGGCCTGGTGTTGCTGCTGCACACGACGGACCACCAATGGCTGCACTCGCTGTTCAAGCAGCACTCGATCAACCTGGGCGCGCGAGTCATGGCCGTGGAGAGCCCGGCCGCTTGCCGCGGCCTGATGAGCCTGATCTGTGTGCTGCCGCGTGTAACTAAGCTCACCCTGGACAGGTACCTGATCACATATCTACTGGGCGCCGTGGCCAGGCTGTTGCCACGCGTCGACCTGGCCGAGTTTGCGTCCGACTCGCTGCTGTGCCGCGAGGTGGCCGACGCAGCCTGTCAGCTGGGACTGCGGCACGGCGAGTTCCTGGACGCGTTCCGCGAGCACGTGGAGCTGGTCACTCCGTCCGAGGACTTCTGGTCACCATCGTACGCAGGGCACGTTCTGTATTTGTTTGCCTGGATGCAGCATCCCGCCGGCAAGCTACCCGCTCTGTGGAAGGGCTGTTACGACTCGCTGCCGGAGAACTCGAGTCGCTTTCGCACGGCCAGCCCGACGGTGCTTCTGCGCCTGTGCTGGTCGTTCGTCGCCATGGGTTACGAGCTGCCGCGCTGGTTGTCGCGGCAGACAGGCAGGGCGGTTGCCTTGGAGATCCGCACGTCGGGGCGTGTTGATTGGATGTACGCCGAGCTCGCCGCTCAGTGCCTGCCGCACATTGAGAGTGACGTTGACCTGGGAGATGGCGACGAGCTGGCCCGTCTCGATACCGACATACGGCACACAGCAGCCGCCGATAAGCTCTGGTCCGTGGAGCTGCTGGCTAACTCACCTGTGCAGCACGTTGGCGGCTTGTTCTGCATTGCCGTTAGCGACGACGGGGTCCTGCTGCCCTGGCCCAGGACGCACGACCCGCTCGCCTTGACGGCCGCTGTTGCCGCGATGCTGCCCTGCAAGCCGGTAGCGCTGCTCATCGAGAACGTGCACTACTTTCACGCGGACGGCACCCCGGCCGCTGCCCTCGTGCGGCGCAAGCTCGAGCTTGAGCTTCTCGGCTGGAGTGTTGTTCACGTTGAGTTGGC